ATATCTCTTTGGTTTTGAGACTTTAGTCTTTGCAACTTCAGGGATCTTATCTATGCACAATCAGCTTGTAACACTCCAAAGAGAAAGCAAAACTTGAAATCGCATCATATGACCCCTTTAAATATGTTTTTCAGTTGCATTTAATTTTATTGGGAAAAAAACAACAACACAGAGAATATATAGTTTAATGCACCCTTGCTTAAAGGAAATGTATTATTATTATTTTTAATCTTACTTATTCCAAACCTTTAAATGGCAGTGTATCACGGTTTCCACAAAAAAATATTAACTACTGTTTTCAAGATTGATAATAATAAGAAATTATTATTGTGCAGCAAATCAGCATATTAGAATGATGTAGATGCCATCACAAACATAAATTATGTTTTAAAATATATTCAAATAGAAAAAAGTTATTTTACATTGCTTAAATATTTCATAATTAATACTTCGTTCAAAAACCGCCAGTGTGTGTGTGTATATATATATATATATATATATATATATGTGTGTGTGTGTGTGTGTGTGTGTGTGTGTATGTACAGTATATATAGATTACACATACATATAGATGCTTTTTAGATCTGAGTTACAGTATGCTTACATTAGTGAAAGGGGAGCATGATGCCAAATGAATAGTGCTGTGCATGCGACAAGGCCATCGCCAATGGCTACCTGACATCACTGTAGAGCTGCTGCTAACATGCATTCTCTTTGTGTGATTAGACCCTGAGAGAGCTTTCTCTCCCCGTCACACTCTTCTTACAGTATATTCAGTCACTGCACATGATATTTTGCGGTCACTTATTTTATAAACACTGCTTCTTGCAGCGACATACTAAATGGTGCATCAGCAAATAGATTTTTGAATTATGAACCCACTCAAAGCTTTTAATGCTCCAGTGTTAAGACGCATTTCAGATACAATTAGATGCTTTTATACAGTGTCCTCCTAACCGGGCAATAAAATGGCAGGTGATAAAAGTTATTTTTTTCCATACATTTTGTCCTAACCATTTGCAACAAGCAAATATGGAAGACTTTTTAAGTGCTATTTAAAATTTAAATTCAGAAATCAATTATCAATGTATTCATTCAAAAATAAAAATGTATTTGAATAAATCACTTTTAAAAGTGACAAATAAATAGATGTATTTAAGACTCATGTTTAAAATTTTGTTAAATGTAACAATAAGTAATAAATACATTTTTAAATGCAATAAATTTTTTTTTGACATTTGGACATTTGCCAAAAAATTTAAGAAAAGCAGTTTGCTAATTAATTAATGCTTTAAAATGCTTATCTTGTTTTTTAATACATTAATACATTTGAATTAAATTAAACGAGTTTAAATATGTATATTTCTTCATTTCATTGTATTTTTAAGTGATTTATCAATTTACAACATTATTTTTGAATTAATATTTTAAGAATTGGAATGACCCTCCATGAGTGACAAGCTATTCTACCAATCCCTTAATTTTATTCCTGTGTTGTTCTGGGGAGCCCCGCCTACAGTACATTCTCACTAGTAGTTCATAATCCTCCTACACATACTGTAACATTTATCAGCAAATATGTTCAGACTGGCTGTGTTATGCAGCCTTTTCACGTGCAGTGCTTGTTGCTTGTGGTCTCACACCTGGTTAGGACATGAGGTTAGATTTGTTTTTGTCTTGCTTGCTTGCACCTTGTTCTCTCCAGAGATTTGTGCTCATGAGTCTGTAAAGGGACTCTCTTAAGGGCTGAGAGGGCTGTTAAGGTTTGATTCTGATGTTGGATAAAGGTTTGAAGGTCGTCCAAACAAATAAACACCACCACGATATTTCCGAGCAACCTCTGAACCCGTGGGCCTGTCTGTTTGCACGGTAGACTATAATTGCCAGGAATATAACTCGAACCAGCCTCACGTAAAATACAGAGGGAAAAAATAAAAAAATTAAAAACTTTGGAAAGGATTACGACATTGTGAAAGAATTTCCCCAACATTTTCTCTTCAAGCGAGTCCAATGAGCACTGACGGAGCAGTTGCTGAAGACTAAAAGCAGGAGGTTCTGTTGTTACCATGTTCTCTCAAGTGTAACCGGTGAGGAGATTTAGATGAAAAGCTCTAAGTGAAAAATGAGCCGTCACAGAAATAAGAATGAAGTAACGTATCACATGAAGATGCTCAGGATGTCTTGTTGTAATTCCTCTGTGTCTTCGATTAGCATCTGAGTAATGTTACTTTTAATCCAGAGTGCTGATTTATGTAACTGCTGTGAAATCATCCTAGTGTGCGAAACAGATACCTAGTTCAGTCATGAAACTCTAGATGGTGCAGGCTGATAGGTCCTTTACATGCAATCTACTAGCAATCACATAATTTAAACATGGCATATGGTTGCCCTCCGCTGTATGTGCATTGTACAGTGGTCCTGCAGTGTGCCATCAGAGTTCTTCTTAAACCCTCCACCTCCCCCAGCTCCACCTGTCTAGATCTGCTACAGGATTTACATATGACTATTTATGCAGCAGTAGCATCTTGCATGCTCTCAGCAGCAGCAGCATACATAGCAGGTCTAGTTTGTCTGCTCTAGACCAAATATATTAACATTATCATATCCGTTAGCATTTTAAAACTATTCTGTGAGTTGTCATGATTGAAAGGAGTCATTTTTTTTAAATGAGTGAAATATGTTGTAATCTTCCTTACACAACTGAAATTGTCTTTTTCCAATGTTAAGAACTTTTAAAGTATTCTAAAGAATTTTAAAATTCTAAACCACAAAGTAAAAAAATAAATAAATGCATATTTTGTCTTCATTTACTCACCTCCTTGTCATTCTAAACCTGCACTAATTTATTTTTTCTCTGGAAAAACAAAAGAAGATATGAAAATGATCTCAATATTTTTTGAAAAGTGACATGTTAATATGAAAAGATGAGATGGGATTGAAAATTATACTTTATGCTCATTTAAGCTATTTTTTTTATAAATTTACTAGCAAATGCAAAAGTTTTGAAATATATTTTTTCCTCCATATTTCATCACCATGTCTTATTAAGGGCTCTGTAAAAGTAATTGGGGTCCAGTGTTGTTTTGGACCCCATTGCCTTTCATTGTATGAATGAAAACAGTTCTTCCAAAAACCTTCTTTTGTGTTAAGAAAGTTTGGAACAACTTGAGGATGAGTAAATTATGACAGAATATTCATTGGGGTGAACTGTCCCTCCAAGTGGTGAATCAGCTTTATTTTCTGTGTTGATGTATATTCTATTGAAAAAGGAAGTTTGAGTCCTGAATGTTGAATGCCATGAGTTTTAACAGCGTGTAAGACAAAATATGTGTGAAATTATGCATAACCTATTTTAATTCAGGAATAGTGCACTGTAACATTATTTATGAACAGTTTGAGTAGCTGTTTGTGTGAATATGAATGGCTCATAATATGAATGACTCAGTCAGTGGCAGTGCATTGCTGTTTTATTGATGTGTTGACATTAATTTGTGTCTATGAATGGTGCTTTTAATATATTTAATAATATATTCTGAAGACTGAATATAAATGTGTTTATCTGCTAAAATTAGGGTTGTACTAACATATAAATGACTCCAAAGCTAACAAAGACTAAAACACACGTCAGACTCCACAAACACCCCTGTAATTCTCATCCTGTTCATATTTCTTCAAAATATCATCTTTTATATTCCATAGAAGAAAAAATGAGAATGAAAAAAAAGAATAAAATTTTTTTCAAAGTGAACTATCCCTTTATAGTGTGTGTAGCTGTGTGTTTTAAGTATTTCATTGCTCTGTTGTGCATGTTTGAGAGAGAGATAGGAGTCATAAACTTAGTGTATCGAACAAACAAGTATCGCACAATTTCTGCTGATGCGATCATTTGAATAAATGACCGTTGTAACAACCTCAATGAAAATCATTATTTTAATATAACAGCTATCATATCTCTGACAGTAACCGTGGAGATACCCCTTTATGGCTTTGTAAAGTAATTGGCATACACATAAATGTGTACGTAAATGATAGTAGCATTTCAGTACGTATGAGACACGGAAGCAGGGTTTATGTTTCTAAAAGTACCACAGACAAGGTCCCCTTATGCAGCTTTGATGACGTGCCAGTTTAAATGCGGATGCTTGTTCGGCGGGGGTTTACAAGCTCAGATGGAAGCGCTTTTAGTTAGAGAGAGGATCTTTATTTTAATCAGAAATGTCAATTTAATTAAGCCTATGCATTACTGTATGTGTTTTGTTTCCTTGTATGTCCAGTATAAGGATGTTGCATTATGTAAAAGACTCAGTGAAAGCCAGTCACATGATTTGATTTTAACACGATTTAAACTGCAATATACGGCTGCAATACCATTCAATGAAAAACTTTATAATCTTCTAGAAGATGCATTCAATCACAGAGCAGTGTTTTTGATATTGCAACTTTTATCTGCATTGTATCTGATCATAAAGTCATGACTTGGACTGTCCCATGCAGGTGCTCTTTTTCCATTCCACTGAAGATAGTCACTAAAAATACATTGGCTGTAATCTTCTTAAGTAAACCAGGAAGGAGCTCACAGCAGGGACTCAGTGGTGCTTCACCAACAACACAAATAAACCCCTGTGATCTGGACGTTTAATCTTGTACCTGGGGTTCAGAGGTAACTCACTTTTGAGTTACCGTGCGAGTTTTCTGTTTATCTTGTATGGTATCTCCTCTAGTTTCATTCTGTAGACTGCCGTATTGGATAGAGGGTCTTGCCATGCCCAACTTACCCAATCTTAACAGCTTTGGCAAACTGTGCGGCTCTGGCCGCAGCGACGACTCTGTGGTGCTGGACCGGGTGAAGCGCAAGAACTCAGTTCGGAGAATGTCCATTATCGAAGATGGGAACGTGGCTGAGGTGCTCTACCTCATTCCCAAACAGTCCATGATGGAGCAGCTGCCCTTCCTTAACCCCAATGAGTATATTATCCTGGAGAAAATGGCACCTCCTGACATTGGACCCGGTAAGGGAGGATAGAGAGAGATGCTAGACTCTTGCTAGACACTTATTTGCTATCATAGAAAATATTTGCATTATGCAACTGTCTGTGATATTGTTCAGTTGTGTAGATTTTTTTTTTTTATTCAGTAATCAAATAGGCTTGAAATAATCACAAATGTCAGGATTCGTTGTCTTACAAAAAAAACAAACTTATAATATATATATATATATATATATATATATATATATATATATATATATATATATTTATATATATACACTGTACATATATAATAAATATTTTTTTAATTAGAAAAATTGATAAAAGATAAAATAAAAATAATATAAGTAGTCATAATTTTTATAATAGTATTTTTAAGAGGGCAAAACTGCAGAAAATAGTTTTTAATGCTTTTTTTCAATCCCCACTGTTTTTTAGGCATAAACTACAATATTTTGTAATATTTTACTTTATTTTATTTTTTCATTTATTTATTTTTAATATTAATATGTACATCATTTTATTTTTAGTAATATTATTTTGTTTTAAAGACGTTTATTTATTTAGAAAAATCTTTCTCTCTCTCTCTTTATATATATATATATATTTCAGTGAAATTAGTTAAAATATTTGTGTCATTTCCAAAATGAGCCTTTTTATTATATTTTTATTCAATTAATATTTTAGATTTTTGCAGAGCAGCAGTTCCAAGTCATAGTGACACAAGTGATATCTGTACAGGGGCAGAACTTTTTTTCGAATAGAAGAGAGCCAAAAATGTAATGTATTACAAAATAATTGAGGAGATAAACAAAGATGCTGGTATTTGTGTTTATAAGGCAGTGGGATGTGAGGCTAATCTAAAGTCTGAGCTGGATCACAGCACTATCCCGCTGGCAGGATTATGGCTGAAATAGTGGACACATTCCTGACAAATCTTCCCATTAGTCTTCTGTGGTCACTTTTTTTTTTTTACAATCCACTTTTACAATCCTTATACCCTGTAAAATGCCATTAACTGGTATTGTAAATGTTTCATAATGTAGTTTCCATTGCATCCTGGAGTAACAAACAGAAATATTTATTTATACTGTCTTTGGACATAACTTGTGTTTTAGCACACATATTTCTTTTTGTGTGCGTTTATATCTGGAACACATAATTTAATCTGCAATACCTTTGTTAGAACCATTCTTCTTATGTTTTTACAACAGTTTTTTTTTCTACAATGTATATAAATCTGTTCTTGATAGTATGTGAACAAACACACCCGGAGCAGTTGGGGGTTTGGTGCCTTGCTCAAGGGTCTCACCTTAGTCGTGGTATTGAGTGCTGGTAATTCACTCCCCCCACCTACAATCCCTGAGACTCGAACCCACGACCTTTGAGCTACAAATCCAACTCTCTAACCATTAGGCCACGACTGCCTAAGGAACCAGTAGCGAACCAGTGCATACAGTAATTATAGCTAAACTCAATCAGTCAATCATTTACGACCAAGGCAAGTGTGGATCCCCGTTGTGTAGCCCTCCAGGAAGGGGAAGTCAGAGATACCCTGAAGCCAAAGGTATCATACTGTTATTCTACTGTTCCACATGTGCTGCTTTTCCATAACAGTACTGTGCTCTAGACATTGTAGGGGTTTGGGTTTGGGCTTTTTGGACAAAATGGGTCGGGAAAATCACTTGAGATATTTTTTATTTTTTTGGCCAGTAAGGAACCAAACTGAAACACCCTAGCAACCGTCCAGAGCATGTTAGCCACCACAGAAACACACTAAAACCCCTCAGAACATCATAGCAATATGGTTCAAAAACTGTTATTCACTTCTATTCGCTGTCTTGTGTTTTAGAATGTCAGAGATATAAGAAATGAATAGGGATGCACGATATATCGGCCACCATATCGGTATCGGCCCATATCGGCTCATTTTTTCTGTTATCGGTATCGGCCTGATAAGAAAATTTGGCCGATATCTTAAAGCCGATAAATAATGCATTATTTCCTTCAGAGACACTTCAGATGCGCGCTGTTCGTTTGCAGCCTTTTGTGCAATTGTACATTGTAATATTGTGTTTATTTGATGTATATCTGATTTATCTCATATAGAATGCGTTGGGTTAAGTTAAAAGAGCGCTTCAGTTTACCAGTGATCATCTTTAGCTCAGCACACGCAGCCCAAACAGCAGTGCACAACATTAATAACTATGATTGGGAATGTCGTGTATATAACATTCTAATTTTTTAAACGTACACCGTTCAAACTAGGCTGCTTATGTTGAAGTGTTTGGGATGTGGCTTTTAATGATGAGACCTTTTTTGTAATCAGGCTCTCAAAAAGTATATAACAATTTGGATATAGATTTATCGGCCAACATATCGGTTATCGGCTTTCAAAAATAAAGAATAATCGGTTATCGGTATCGGCCAAAATTTTCATATCGGTGCATCCCTAGAAATGAATTCTGAAACAAGGATTAAAGCATTCTCAAAATAGTAGTAGTAGTAGCATTTTGTGGTGTTGCACAAATAAATAGAGAATAATTACAGTGGTCTAGCTATATTTTTGTTACTTTGGCTCAGATCCTTCTTTTTTCTCTTGTCGACAAAAGGTTCAGCTGTTTTCTTCTTTCTAATGATATAGACTGATATAGAAGTTCCTCTATTTATCCAACACCTGCTGTCTGTGGCCTTCCCATGCTGACACCCCCTGTCTCTCTCTCACACATCCTCCGCTTATTTAAAATTCAGCTAATCTCCTTTTAACCATATCAACACATATATGGCTGTTTCTTAGGCTATGGACACTTTTAACCCTGTTGGCTAGTTTGTCTCTAACAATGTTCACATTATTGCATTTTTATCTAAACCATAATTTTCCCTACCAACAAATGAAATTTCTACCACATCTTGGAAATTACATTTTTAGAATAATAATGGCTGATTCCTTGGTTGTGCACAGGCTAATCTCATAGGTTGCATTATATGTCCATAATATATAAAAATGAAATAATATTTTCAAATATTTTTTTACATAATTTGGCTAAATTAAGTTATACAAGTGATGTTTACCTTTTTAATTGTTTTCTTCACACAGTACACGTCATATTTTATTTAAAGCTGATCTTTACTGTTTTCTCCTTGGTAAACAAGGTCACTAACTTTTGAAACTTTTTTAGAGGCAAAATTGTTGGTTGTGGTGGAAATCATGGCTTACAGCCACACTTTACATAGTTTATTTCACAGATTGTTTAGATTCTAAAGTTTCAGGGTCAGTAGGTTGCATTATATGTCCATAATATATAAAAATGAAATAATATTTTCAAATATTTTTTTACATAATTTGGCTAAATTAAGTTATACAAGTGATGTTTACCTTTTTAATTGTTTTCTTCACACAGTACACGTCATATTTTATTTAAAGCTGATCTTTACTGTTTTCTCCTTGGTAAACAAGGTCACTAACTTTTGAAACTTTTTTAGAGGCAAAATTGTTGGTTGTGGTGGAACTCATGGCTTACAGCCACACTTTACATAGTTTATTTCACAGATTGTTTAGATTCTAAAGTTTCAGGGTCAGTAAGATTTAAATAATAATAATAACTTTTATTAAGCAAGAACACAATAAATTGATCAAAAGAGATGCTGTTCTTTTGAAATATCTATTTCTCAAAGAATCCTGAAGTTTCCATAAAAAATATTTAGCAGCCAAACCATTAAAAATTTGATATTAAAAAGAAATGTTTCTTAAACAGAAAATCAGCATATTGTAATGATTTCTGAAGAATCATGAAACACTGAAGTAATGGCTGCTGAAAATTCTGTTTTGCAATCACAGGAATAAATGACATTTAAAGTATATTAAAATAGAAAACAGTTGCGTAATTAAAGGGGACATCGGAAGCCCATTTTCCACAAGCTGGTATGATTCTTTAGGGTCTTCATGAAATGTCTGCAACATACTTTGGTTAAAACTCCTCAATGGTGGTGTAAAACTACACCCTTTTTACCTTGTCAAAAACAGCTCTGTCCACAGCGTCCCGTTTCGGTGCATGCCTCTTTAAATGATAATAAGCTACTGCTCACCCCACCCCACCCCTCTCTTCTGTTTTTTTGTGTATTCGGTGGCGCGTTGCCATCAAAAACAAAACTAATCCACTACGTCTTCAGTGGCTCTGTTGTCGAGAGAAAATGAAGACTCTTATGTTCACTTTACATCCAACTACAAAACACCTGCATTGTCACTACAGCTGCTCGAACGCGGAGAAAATGGCGCACAGCATACAACTGGTCGAGGGCGGAAATATGCTAATATGGGACAGTCCGTCAGCCATCGTGGGCGGGGCCTGATCAGTATGACATCGTACTGCTCAGAAAATCAAAACGGCTTGATTATTGAGACTATTTAAAGAGGTCATATGATGCTTTTTTAAAGATCATTATTTTGTGTATTTGGTGTAACGGAATATGTTGACATGCTTTAATGTTCAAAAAACACATTATTTTTAAAATACTGTACATTATTGTAAGTCCTCTATGCCCCGCCTCTCTCAAACGCTTTGTTTTCTACAAAGTCCCTCCTTCCGACAAGCGCAGTCTGCTCTGATTGGCCAGCTGACCCAGTGCATTGTGATTGGCCAAACACCGCAAGCACTCGTCGGAAATGTAACTCCCCTAACCATAATCGCGAACGTCATCTTTCAAAATAAATGTAAAGACAGTAAATAATGTCATTAATTTTACCATCAGTTCAAGCCCGAAAGGGGAACAGACACAGTAATGATGCAGTACACAAGCCGCGGTTAAGACAGCTGACTCTGCTGTGATGTGACGCTCTCTCTCACACACACACACACACACGCGCGCGCGCGCACACACACACACGATGCGCAAAACTCCGCATTTGAACAGTCAATAGCAAATACTTAAACTAATAACAAAACAGCAGCTGATTCAGAAGCGCCAGATTGTCATAGCAAAGTCAGAATGACCTCCTCTCCTAGGTTCACGAAACGGTCGTC